AAGCTTTGGGCCGTCCTCGACTGCTTTCCTGGGCCACAGGCAGGGAGCTGGATGGGAAGCGGGGCTGCCGGGATATAACCGGCGCCCATATGGGACTCCGGGCGTGCAAGGCGAGGACCTTAACCACTGCGCCACTGCGCCGGGCCCGCATGTGTACTGTTTTTGATAAACTGTCATGTGCAAATAACTATAATATGCCAAAGTGTATCAGACTGTATACTTTAACAGGGTGAATGTTACTGTATGTAAATTCATTATACTTCACAAACATAAACCTTAAACCTGCCTTAGAGCATAAAATCATAATCGATGAACCTCAGAAACATGTTGAGTGAAAGAAATCAGATTCCACAAATTATCTACTCTGTGATACTGTGTGAAATTCTAGAATTGAGAAAGCTGATACATGATGAAGAACAGTGGTTGTGAAGGGGGTGCAAGTAAGATACAGGGTGTGTATCAGGAAGGGGGTAAGGTTGTCTCTGGGCTGGTTGAAGTCTTCCTGTAGGTTGAGAAGAATGTGGGTTATATGAATGTATCCATTTATCAAAGCTCATCCAATCTTACATTTAAGACCCACGAATCTTTGTGTCTAAGCTATCTAAGGAAACAGAGAAGATAGGCTGGCCAAAAAAGGGTGGCAGGGCAACAGGAGAGGGAGAAAGAGATGGTAAGGGATGGCAGGGGAGGTAGTTTGCTTTGGTGACACACTGCATTTAGGAGATGATGAAGAGGTTATTTCTGGCTTTTGAGTTTCGTGGATGGATTGCCGTTTCCCAGAATGAAGGATAACAGCCAGACACCCCTGGGGAAACAAGTCAGAGTTGTTTGTGGCACACCTGTGGGGGTCTTCTAGTGAAGATGTCTTGAAGGAAGCTGGAAGTATGGGTTTGGTATCCTAGAGACTCTTGACTAAAGATACTGATCTGAGCATCAGCATCATAATATTAATTGCAACCACGCAAATACATGTGGTTGTTCAACAGGAGGAGCAGAGTTGAGGAGGGAATAATAGCCAAGGATTCCTCCCTGAGCAAAGCTTCCAGTGGAAAGAGCAGCATCAGAAGAGAGCAGTGTCTCAGGATTCAAGGGAGAGCTTTCCAGGCATTAGGGGCTGGTCAACACTTTGGGATGCTTGGGCTTAGTGGTCATTGGTGATCATGGCCAGAACAGTCAGTTATTAGAGAGTGAAAGCAGAAACAAATTCTTCTGGGTTGGGGAATGAGCAGGTATTTACGAACGTTCAGACAGCTAAATGTGGATTGTTCATTGCAGAAGCTCTGTGTAAAGAAATGAGGGATGAAGGTGCAACCAAAAGCTTGGAGGGGAAGTTAGGCTACTTACCTCCAACCAGTCTAATTTTTAATTTGTTTTGGTTTGGCTGGGGCCTGAGGGAAGGAAATACCAAGGAAATTGGTCCTGAGGAAATACTGTTGAATAAGGTAAATAGAATCATCCTTTGAAAAAAATAGTTGCTCTTCTGTCATGAGAAGACAACACAGAGGAACAAAGAAAGGAACTGGCAAGTGGAAAAGCCAGCTTGCCTGTCCCCCATAGTGACAGGGACACTCATTTGTGTCCCTCTGCATGCTGTGTATTTGAAACTCTAGGTGCCATTGCCACAGCATACTGCTTGAAAAGGTGAAGTTTGCTCTTCTCAGTACAGCCCATCCTTATCTTTGCAGATCTTCAATGTCCGTAGAAAAGGCCACTCAGTAAAAACAGGTTTTATAAGTACTGTGGTGGCCTGCCAAGGACCACAAATTAATGAAGTTGAAGTAGTTATTGTAATAGATACATTCAGTACCCAAGTCATCTGTCCATCTCAGGTGGCCCCTAGGTCACAGCCTTTTTGGTAACCTAGGTTTAGGCTTTGTAGTTTGTTGTGATGCTGTCACACACCATTAAATAAGAGCTGGATGCTAGTACAGATGGAATTAGATATTTGCCTCTCTCTTCTGGTGGGTTTTTTTTCCCCCCTTCATTTTGGGAAAACTTTATTTGAGATTAAGAAGAGAAAGCAAGTGAGCAAATGAACACTCCTGCTGCTGGTTCACTCCCCTGGTGCCTATAAACAGCTGCTGGCTGGGGCTGGACCAGGAGCCAGAATTGACTTGTTTCTTTATAAGGTTTATTTATTTACTTGCTTACTTAAAGGAGAAAGTGTGATGTGCCTCCTGGGCGGCAGGAACTGAAGCACTTGAATCACCGCTGTTGCCTCCCAGGAAGCCAGGATTAAGAGCCAGAGCCAAACTGGAGCACTTGATGTGGGTTGTGTGTTAGCCGATGTCATAAGCACTGTGCCAACATCTGCTCCGGAGCTTTGAGTGTGTAGGTTGGTTAGTGCAGACAGGTTTTACTTACTTGAGTGAAAGTCGATTTAACATCTTAACTAAAGTTCATTTTCTCCTTCTCACCTCCCAGAACACTGGTTGGCAGCCTGTCAACTGCATTTCTTGGCCTTTGCCTCTGATTTGTGGATATAGTTAAGTAAACAGGAGGTGTTTAAAGAGTGGATCTCATTGATTATTCATTTCATTTATGGCTGATCCTGCAAACCTGATCAATTTGTGTTCCTGCTCTTTTAATAGTATCATGTTATGACATAATTGTTTCCTGTGCTTCAGCTTTTAAAAAGAGAATATAATTTTTCCTGAATCAACATGTTTGTTTGCTTGTACAATGTTAATGTGCATTTGGGGATTTTTGTAGTTTCCTTTTAGATATATTATTTGATACTGTATGATAAAACTTTTTTCATGGCTTAAAGGGAAAGCATTCTGTGGCATTACTGAGGACGAGGTAAGATATTCAGATGAATGTTTTGGCTGTAAAAGTGATGTATTTGTTGCCAAAAGAAAATAGATGGGGGAATCTTCCTTTTCTTTGAATTTTAAAGTATGGGTAATATGTAAATTTTGTGTGATTACCTGAGGGTGAATCCCATCTCAAAGTCTGCTGTAGTTTGTGATTATGTTTATATATTAACTGGAATGTGGAATAATTAGTAAGGGAGCCAGCTTGTTTCACGGAAACATTTCGGGAGAGGTTTGGAATATGCATGTCTTGCTCTCTCAGGTCACGGCATTCGTGGTGCAGTGCCATACTGCACGGGGAGGATCTGGCTCTCCGAGCACTGAGACACTGACAGTGATTAATGAGGAGGGGAGGGGGAACCAGAGAGTGCTGGCAGACTCAGAGAAATCACGTCCCTGAGCGCCTCTGCGTCAAGTCACGAGGACTCTTTATTCCCATTCTTGGCACTCCATCATACCTTCCCAACCTGGGGTGTTCTCAGAGATAATTTTGTGGGCCATCTTTTTAGAAGTGTACATTTATCTTCCTAGATTTTTTTTTAAGGTATTGGGAAATGAAAAAAAAAAGCTTGGAGTAAGGAAATTGGTTTTAGAATTAATTTCTAGAAATCTTTAATTACATTCTCTGGGTGTTTGATCCAACGATAAGGAAGGTAGTCTTCTTCTTGCAGAAAAGATGTAAGCATTTGGACGGACGTGGGGAGACATTTTGGGTGGTGACTTCTGTAAGTCTCATGTATCTTTAGCAAGCACTGCTCACTCCTGTGATTTTTGTGCAGAGGATCTCATTAATGGCACAAAGAGTTGCAAAGGAAAGTTTTTGTTCCTGCACTTGTGAAACAAAATCAGGCATTCTAGGGGAACAGTCTGCTCGTGGGTCTCCCTTTGCTCCTGGTAAGAGTTGTGAAGCAGGAGAAGAGATCAGTAAAGAGTTAGAAGCCATGGAAATGGCATCTCTGGCTAGCTTCCTTCCTAACTAACATTAGCAGTGCAAGAGGACCCTCTCACAGTCCTCCTTCGCTACCACTGGCTTGCTTTCTCTTTTCTCTGCTCTCTGTGTTGGACCACTGTGTGTTTTGTTTTCTCATCACAGGAGAGGGAAAAAGAATAAATGTGTTTTACCTGCAGATGTCTTCTTGACCTAGGTTGCAAAAGCAAGATCTTGATTTAAAAAAAGTGATGGAAGGATCCCCAGGGTATGACTTCAGCACAGTCTCTTTTCAGAGTGGTGGTGGTGGGAGGGTGGCTCAGACAGCCTGCAGCACAAAGTATTGCTGATATCGAATGTGCTTGCTTCATCCTCTCCCCAACATTTTGTTAATGCATAAGCACAGCAGAATCGTGCGTATGGACTCTTTCAGAGTCAAGTCACTTTCTGTATAGCAGTTAAGAGCATCAGTACAGTGAATTATGGAAATTTTTATCTAAATATCCATTTATTCGAAAGGAGAGAGAGGAAGAATTTCCATCTGCTGACTCACTCAATACATAATTACAATAGCTCAGGCTGGACAAGGCCAAAGCCACGAATCAGGAACTCTGATAACCACGTCTCCCATGTGGGTGGCAGAGACCCAAGTCATTACCTGAGCCATCCTCTGCTGACTGCCTTGCACATCATCCAGGAACTGGATCAGACGCAGAGTAACTGGGGACTTGAACTAACACTTCAGTATGAGATGTCAGCATTCCAAGCTGTGGCATATCCCACTGTGCCACAAAACAATGATGCTAATTTATTTTAAAATCTGTTTCTTTCAAGAGATGGAAATAGAGAAACATGGAGCTCCCATTTCCTGATTTGCTCCCCAAGTGCCCCCAACAGGAACTATGAATCTGGAGCTAGGAACACAATCCAGGTGTCTCATGTGGATGGCAGGGAGCCAGTATCTTGAGGCATCACTGCTGCCTCTCGGGGTCTGTGTGGACAAGAACGTGGTGTCAGGGGTCAGACCTGGGGATTGGGTCCAGGTGCTCCACTGTGGGACGCAGGCATTGAGAAACCTGGCCGTAATGGTGGCATTTTAATCATTTCTCTTGAACTTTTAGACTCTGCTTCTACTTCCACTTACCACTGCTATGTAGTGAGTTTCCAAGTCTATAATGGGGTTGATTGGACTGAACCTTCCAGATGTCTGTGCAGTAGTGACATAGAGAATGATGTGTGTTATGTTGTGTTTCTAGAACTCTATGGCTTTGATGTACTCATAGATTCTACTCTGAAGCCATGGTTGTTGGAAGTGAATCTGTCTCCTTCTCTGGCCTGGTAAGTCAATTCCCTCGGCTAGAAAAGGCGCTAACCTCCATTAACCTCAATTGCACCCCTGTTTTTTTTTTTTTTTTTTTTCTTTTTAGTAATTTTTCTTGGTCCTAGATGACTTTTTTTTCATGGTTATTAGATAGAATTTCACCTTTGCAAATATTATGTCAAGACTAGAGAAATATGTAAAGTCTTCCATTCCCTTTATACCCAGTGGTTTGGACAGCCTCAGATTCATGTAACCTGTAAAGGGGTGAAAGCTCCTCCTGGGGAGTATGGATAATATCTGGACCTTTTGTTCTGCTCCATTCAAAGTTAACGTCTAAAAACTTAAAAAAAAAATCTTAAAAAAAATGTTTTTAAAGCAGTCTATGGTTTAGAAGAAGGAAAAATGTATATGCTTCAATACCAGGGAGGATTCTGCTGATACCTGCAGCTTCAGCCAGGATTTCTATTAGCCGTTTACTTCTCTAAACAGTGAAACAGAGATTTATGCCCGGGACCACCCGGCTGCTCAGTCTTTAAGGATGAGAGATGTTGGCAAAGTACCAAGTCATCAAATAAAGACAGATTGACTACTTCGTGGAGTGGGAGTTTGGCCGGAGCTCAGCGGTGTGTTGTAGAGCTGGATGTTACAGATACTTCAGATGTTAGGCTGTGCTCTTGTCGAGTCAGCCTCTCACAGATCACCCAGTCAAGAATATAATACCATGGCAGAGAGCCCCAGGCCGATGCCTTGGGTGTGGCAGCCAGAACACCTGGTGGTATATAGAAGAACCTTGCCGCCAAAGTCGGCGTGGCAGTCACCGCCACAGGGAGGCCTCTGACTTGGGGTCCATGCCATATGGCTTCCTGGTGTCCTCATTTGATGAGATTTTGGTATGACCTGTAATTCTCTGTCCTATTTGCAAGCAGAAGATTGAGTTAGAAAGCGTGACTCAGAAAATGAAGAGTTAAAAAGAAGTACCAGTATCACCAGGTTTCTTCTCTTGCATGTGAATGTGATTCAACTATGGTAGCAGTAAAACAAAAACATCATAATTTGAATGACTGGCACCCTCAGGAAAGAGCGCACTGAAAAGTCTGAGCCTCTGAAATCCCCAGTGGTAATGAAGCCATGTGCGTGACTCGTGCAAACTCTGAATCACCCACAACTTTCTGGAGTAAAAAGATCTTGTGTTAGGAAACCAGTGCCTTGGTGCTGGGTTTGCCTCGTGGAAGACTACTTTCGCACCTGGCTTTTATTTCTAGTATATTTTTGCCCAAACTTTTTTTTTCTGCTTTTCTATATTGGATTTATTAGGAGATAGGTAGCTATTCTGTTAACCTATCAAATTCTCAAATTGCCCTTTTGTTTTTCTGTTCTGTTAGCGATGCACCTTTGGACCTCAAGATCAAAGCCAGTATGATTTCAGATATGTTCACGGTTGTAGGTGAGTAGTGTGGTGCTCCCCGAACTGGACTCGCATGCAAATAAACCAGCAGGCATCCATTTTGTCAGGCTCCCTAGATATTTCAAAGTGGCAGTTCTTAAGCCATGCTGAATGTTTTGCACTAGAGAAAAAAAATGATATTTTGGGGGAAGTGTTTATATGTTTCTACTCTCCCTGGCTCCATCCTGTCCTGAGGCTGAACCACAACTAAGGCAGAGACCTGAGGCCCAGGAATTAGGAGCGGAGGCAGAGAATTAAGCAAAGATCTGGAGAAAGTGTATTTTACTTCGAGCTGGGAAAGTGAAACCCAACGAAGGAGCTTTGTTACAAAGCAGCCTGGCTGTATTTCTGCCAGACAGTCTTTCCTGGTTTCACCGTGATCCCTGCAGTACACTTATAACTGAGAAAGAAATCCCAATTTAAGTAGATAAACCAAAGCTTTGAAATAGAGATGGATGGACAGGTGGATATATTGCAGATTTATTATGATTTTTTTTTGTCTAGTATGCTGAAAAGATGAAATGAAATATATTTGAGATGAACTGGTACTTAATGTACCAGCGTATGTTGTGAAACTGAGCTATTCCATTATTCTTGAATGAGAATCTACTTGTTTTTAGGAAGTAAGTCAATTAACCAAAGTCCAATTTCTGAAACTCTCAATCTAGAAAGCGCCTTTCGGCCAGTTGCCGATAGACTCCCTGTGGCCGTTGTGAAGCAGATTACATAACAGGCTAAGACTGCACACTTGCACTTGGCATCTCCTGAAAAAGACACGAGTTTACCACTCATGATCCAGAAGGCTACTTTAAGTTAATTTGTTTTTTATTAGCAACTTTGTATTTTAAAATGATGATTTGCATGTTTACCCTGGAGTTCTTAAAAGATTTACATCCGTCTCCTAGAATCGTGTTTAGATTCCCTCAGCAAGGTTGACTAACCTGCATGCTTTCCTTTCTTGTTCTCTCCAGTTCTGGTGTTCACAGTGCAAGCAGAGGGTGTGTAGGGACAGTTGTATGCAATTCCCCTAAGGATAGACCTCTATTATCTGAGACCAATGAAAAGGTGCGGCCAAACTGAATTTCTTGGAAGCTGGCAGGTTTTAATATTGCCCATTCCCTATTCAGGATTTGTGTGCCAAGATCCTTCCCAGCGGGCAGCGACCCGGCCAATTTATCCCACCTTTGAGTCTTCCAGGCGAAACCCTTTCCAGAAACCTCAGGTAAGCAAATTGAGCAGCACAGAGCCCACAGGAGGCCAGCTGTGAGGAGGCAGCTGATGTCCCTGTGGCCTGTGCAGAGGCCTTGAAGGGGTCGCTTAGAACAGGGGGCCGTCTGGCCAGGAGGCTGCCCGCCTTCAGTCAGGCTAGGAACTTGTGTTTTCAATGCTTTCCAGCACACTTGTTCCCTGCTTTCTGTTTTGTCTTTTTTCTTGACTTTTTTTTTTTATTACTATTGTTCCTTTTTTCTTTCTGCTTTTTCAAAATCACTGGTTTTTTTTCTTTTCTTTTTTTTTTTTATAAACAGCACAGAGAGCCTTCTACTTCTTACTATTGCATTCACTTGGATCTTCAAACTAACTTGGTAACAGATGCTCCATCAAAATATCTAGTATCCCTCTTGGAAAGAACTCTGTGTGATAGGAGTTCCTGATTGAGACAAGTGTCTAAAGATTCTGTACTTGTCTGCGCCGTCATTTGACCAAGGCTTGCCCCAATGTTTGTGTGCTTTGCAGTTGTGTTGTTCAGGTTGACCTAGTCAGCCAGTGTTTCCATCCACTCGCTCCATCATCTCATCAGCCCCTGCCCATTTTGGCCCTACCTGTTTCCACTGCTGTATCTTTTCATGAAGAGCCCTTTCACCTTCTGCCTCTTTTCCCATCTGCTTTGATTACTACTTCTTAGAGGTCTCAGAATTCTTTTCTTACTTAGCCCATCCCACTCTTCCATGGCCTTTCTTTTTCACTGCAGTATTACTGATGTGTCCTATGTTGCATTGCTCGGCAGTCATTCACGTGTTACTTTAGGCTGTCCTGTCCTCTGCTAGACTAAGCTGTAAGGAAGCAGAAACAACTTTTTTGCCTTTCCATCCTCTTTTTCCCTTTCTTCCTCTACCCCTGTTCCTGCTACCACTCTTCCTTTTGCCTGCTGATCTCATTTAGAGTTGGGCTGTTTCTATCTGCCAAGCTCATACACTCTTATTTATTCAGAGAGCTTTCTTTTTAGACAGGCTTTTCAAACTCATTTGCCTCCCAAGCCTGCTGACAGGTAATGTGAATGAGTTTACAGGGGCAGATATAATAGAGCTAATAGTAATATATGGAGAAGTCCAGGAAGGGCTGGGGCTGACTGCAGTCAGGCCTGAGTGTGGACCAAGCAATTAACTTTTTGCCCATTAGTTCATTAAAAAAATAAATAACTTTGCAGGCCAAATGTGACGTGTCTTGGAACTGGCTGCACCCTGTGCCGTGCTCCAGGGTGATTCCTTCATGAGTGTTGGGACACGGAGTAGGGTGTACTGTATTTTAAGGGGTATTATCTTGGATTAGAAGTAAGCCCAGGCAGCAGAGTTATGCTTGATCGGTGCATCATCACAGATCAAAGAGCTTCCTTTAATTTTTAATCAGAAAAAGTGGAGGATTAACCTGGATGTACTAAGAGAATGTCATTCAGGCACCCACATTCCTTTGCTGATGTTTAATGTGGTGTCTGTGGCAAGATCTGCAGGATTGTGTAGGAAGGATCGTGAAGATTTCTGTGTAGTTTTAACACAGCTTCTGCCAAGTTTCACTTTGAGGAGCAGTTGTATGCCAGTCCTAATGAATTGATCTCTCTTCTTGGATTGCCTGTCAGCTCTTGCTGGCAACTCTGCAAATTGTGAAGAACCTAGTCATGTTTGTTTAGCTAACTGGTAGGTAATGGCTTGACTTCATCTATAAGCAATCTGTAGGACACTTAAATAAAGGCTTAAAAAAGCTAGATTAACCAGTAGGTACTGAGCAAAATACAGCAGCCAGGTAAACTAGTTAACGTTAGGATCTCCAGTGCCTCATAGGAGGATTGTGCCCTCAGTAGGGATAAGTTGGGTCTGGAGTACATATGGCATTAGGAGAAAGCAATGCGGAAAGGAATACATGCTCTATACTGTAGTCGCAAAGGGCAGAGCTCTTGCTCTTTGGCCTCTGCTTCCAGGTTATATAGGTCGTTTCTTTTTTATATTCTTGATGTGGGAGATGGAAAACATAGGCTTGTTGGGAGAAGATGAGGCTTTATTCCATTTTCTGTCTTTTGTAGCGTCCAGTCTCTGCACAGTTTCACTCATCAAGCACCAAGCAGGTAAGTTGTGGATCATTTGGGGATTTCATTCAATTTCTGTTTCCATTCCTCAAATGAAAAACCTTTCAGCTTCAATCATGCTGGGTACATATTTCATGAATCTGCTTGTTGTAGTTTGTTAACATAAAAATTAAATACAGGGAGATCTTCTTGGAGATAGAGTACAAAAATAAAAGAACTTACTAATCCTGTTTTCTTGATAGTGATTATATTATGATAGAGCTAGTTGGACTTAAATAATGAACAGATTAGGGGGCATATCCTTTACTTGGCCTGAAATATCCCATAAAGGCAATGATACAGTCCATAAGTGAATTTTGCTTTGTTCATTCGTCTTAGGAAACGTAGTGTTGTCAGTAGCTTCACATTGGAAGCTTTTTGTCATCTCTTCTACCTGCTGGTTCACTCCCCAGATGACCACAGTGGGCTGGGCCAAAGCCAGGATTCCTTTCCAGGTCTCCCACAGCAGTAGCAAAGGCCAAAACACTCTGGCTGTTTTCCTTTGTCACCCTTGAACATTGGCAGGCAACTGGATTGGAAGTGGATCAGCTAGGACGTAAACTGGCCAGCACTCAGATGGGATGCTGGCATTGCTGGCCACATCAGTTGCTGCCTTTAAATGACAACTGTCTTCCTTTCTGAATGGTCAGCCTTTGCTCTCTTGTTGTTCTTGCTAGGAGTATCTGAGATGAAACCATCACTTTTGCCCCCAAACAATTTTGTGTTTTGCAGACATCTTTTGGAAGTAATAGTCTTGCAGGGAGAATGTTTCTGTTATTTGACACTGTAAGATGACGGGTGCAGATGTTCTTATACAGAGGTCTGCCACTGCAGCTATTAGTTATTTAGCAAATTATTCCAGTGTATTTATTTTGGCATTTTTACTCTCTGATGCAATTTGCGGTAAGCTTGAGTGTTTAATTGTAACTTTCATAGCTACTGTTTATGATAAAGTGATTTTATGGTTTACATGAAACCATGAAATGACAGAAAGAGTTACTGGATGCTTTGCTTAGTATTTGGTAACTGGTTGATGTGGCTTCATAATACGAGTTTTGATGATTAATTGGTAGAAATTAAAGGCAGTATTTTACATTTAATAAGTATCTGAGAATGCTATCTGCTAGCCATGGCAGAAAGCAAAAGCAAACCTAAGAGCTCAGAGTGTACACTGTGTAGACCCCTTCAACCTGTTAACCTAGGAATACGAAGAGTACTCTTGTCTGGTTTTCTAAGTTTGTTTCCAAAGGAGCATGTTTGATTTTTAATTTTAATGTTAATTTATTTTTATCCATTTTATTTCCATCACATATGACTGCATGGGATTGCCATGGGTTGACACAGCCTTGTTGGAGAGCAAGCTTCTGCATAGTTAGGCTTTGCAGCGCTGGCCCTGTGATGCAGAGCCCCGTGGCTTCCTTCAGCCAGCTTTGCACATGCTGGATCTTTGGACTCTTGCTGTCCTTTGCCGTCTTCAGCTTTGTTACCGTCTTCCTGTTCGTGGAGCATTCTCAGCTCCAGTGTGCTTTCATCAGAGCTGAGTAAAAGAAAAGAAAAAAAAAAAATTTTGGCTCTGCCCATTCAGACTATGTGTTTCCTTTTGCTGTTGCTGTTAGATTGTAAAATCTCTTAATTCTTTGTTCTTTGTCTACCTTTTTAACCCATTGTCTGTAACTACAGTTCTTCCTTTGACTATCTATTGCTAAAATTTTTCACCACCAGATTTTGTGACAGGGTATTAATAGTGAGAACATAGACTTCAGAGGAGCTATTTAGACCTGGGTTCAAATGAGCAAGTCCACCTACCTTTCCGAGGCTCAATTTCCACATCTAAAATGGGAATAGGATGCGTCTGTGGAGTTATGGTGAGAACGAGCAGAAGGAAAGTATTTTTGGAGTGCTGGAAACATAGTTTGCACTCAAATCATTTAGTCATTAGCTGGCTGTTGCAGCTTTTCCTGTTTCCATTGTCAGTATCTAATGTTATTTTGATATTCATCTATAGTCATGCTTTTCACAGTTGCTGTCATCCACAAATGCTGTTATTATTGATTTGTTGTTTATTTCTTCCAGAATTCATGAGGATTCCAGATAATGTGTAAATCAGAACCTATTCTGAAATTACTTCCCAGCTTGAGTCACTTCTATACCTCTTATCTTACAGTTACATCCTGTAAATGTTTTCTGTTTTTGTTAGTACATTATGTTCATGATATTGGCACTAATCCCTGATTGGAAATATTATTTGGAATAAGTAAAATCCAAAGATATAATGTATATTTGTTATAGTCTCTTTTTTTTTGGTAATATTGTCCTAAAAGTCAAACTTCTTCTGCAGCATGTTTTAAAATAAATAAAGCAGCCTTCACACTACTGTTCAGTGAACTCCTAAAACTTGAAATGTGTGTGGGTTGTTTCTTTTAATATTTGTTCCCTTATTTCACTTGTGATTTGAGTTAGAATGGGGCAGTAATCCACAGGCGCATGCACCATTGCTTTGTTGTTTTCTGAGCCTTTGGCACCTGTTCAGCTCTTTGTGATATTCCAAACCTAATCATGCATAGTTTTTGTGAGTCCCTCTAAAAAGGTGTAACTCCAAGACTTGCTGACTTATGTTCACTCCAAACTTCCACATACTGCATATCTATTTTTTTTTAACTATAAGAAAAGTTTATTTATTGCCACCCAACTTACAAAGTATGCTTTTGGTTGTCATTATGTTTAATCCTTATCTTGGAATCCACTGTTTGTTCGTATCCACCATATTTGGTGATATGAGATTGTTTTTATTTCATTTGAGGACATCATTTTTCATTTCAAAAATAGGTTTTAGCCTTTATTTTGTAGATGATACAATGCACCAAATGCAAATTTCGCTATTTCAACTTTTAAAAAAATCTTAATAAAGAATTCCAAACTTGTAAAACAGCATTAGGAGACTTTTAATTCTTTACGTTGTTCCTTTTTGAAGCAAATTTTATTTTTCTCTTTAATTACTGTATCATTAGGACATACCACCTTTTTTATAGTTTGCTTTTTGTCTAGGTCTGACAAACAGTACTTGCCAGCTTTCTTTTAAACTGAAAATAATCTTTTTGAATCAGCATTGATTTCTTTTTAATTGCCTTGAATGGGGGAAAGTAGTTCTTTGTCTCAGAAAATGCATTTTTCATCAGTTCTTCCTCAATGTAATGATTAGATATGTACAAGTTCTTTTCTAGGTTGTCTTTTTTTTCTAGACGGGTTTCCAAGTCACAAATTGTAGTTCCGATTATTAAACATATTCCACGTGTGTTACATGGAAGCGTTCTTACCTGGACAGTGATTGCACAGTTGAGACTGTGTTTTGTTTAGCCAGAGACAGTCATTCGCTTTCAGTTCAGCAGAGTCTTATTTTCTTAGTGCATTCATTCAACCGTTGGATCATTATCCAGAGTCACAACCAAAGAATGTCGTGTGTTGGATTGTTCTCTTGTTCTCGATAGCCCTGAACACTTTCAAGTCAGACTAATTTCTTTAATTTCTTTCTTTCCCCCGTGTTTTTCATCTGAAAGTATATCTCCTTGGCACTCCTAAGCATTATTCCTCTTTCTACTCTCCTTCTCTTTCTCAGACCTCATAGTTCCCCCACCAGAAGCACAGTCCACACGCAGCACATGGGTCTCTTACCTGCAGTAATCCACATATGTGCGCACAGCAGCTCATGCTAGAGTTGTGGGCAGTGAGTAACAAAGGAGTGTCTGCGAGTGTGCGTGGAGACAAGTCTTTGAAAGTGATTGGCAGAAAAGTTTTAGAGATTTTAGTGCTGTAGGTTAGTGCTGTGGAGAAAGGTCAGAAGTTATAATCAGTTTCTAGAAAACAGGAATGTTAAATCTAATTAAAACAAATTGGAAGGACCGTGAAATGTCATTCAGTAGTGATTTGACCCCTATTCTTAAAACTAAAGGCAATCATCCTGCAAAGCTGTTCCAAAAGGTAGTTACTTATTAATTAAAATATTTTTAATAAAGATTTGGTCAGAATTTTAATGTAGCATTTTCTCTATTATAAAATGCTTTTAAGTAAAAATGTTTGTTTTTATTGTAACATTTAAATCAGTACTTATTTCTTGCTCTCTCCTTAAATAATTTGTGACAACTCTAAAGTAACCTTAAATAGCATCAGGCTATTAATTTGTTTATATTGTATGGCCAGTGACTGTATGATTGGATCAGACCCATCCTGTCATGTGACCAGGAAAAGTATTTTGGGGGAAACAATAAGAAGTGTGTGATCAGTGAGAATCCTCAAACCTTCCATTTAAGATGTTGACGTCTCCAAAAGTTGCACTCAGTAAACATTCACAACGTATTGCTTCTTTAAAAATTATTTTACATTCATAATCTACTTATAGTGGTTTCCTTCTTAAATCATCGCCTTTCCCGATATATTCCTCTCTGATCCAACAGATACAATTTACCGTATTCCCAGAACCTGAAAGAAATAATTTCATAACTGCTTCTGCAGAGTTTAATTCTAGCCATGATTGAGCTTTCCTTTTTGTTCAACGAGTAATTGGTGATCTACTCTGTGCCAAGTACTGTTCCAGATGTTGCAAGATTCTACAGTGAGAGCTAAACATCTGAAAGTCCCCGCCTTCACATACTGCTTCCCCCTGTTGATTTCCTAGTGTTTCTTTATGTAGTTTATTCTGGAGTTGTCCTTCTCGCTCCCATCAGTTGGCACTGAGGACTAGTTCATAGTGGTCTCACTTGTGTCCCATGGTGAAGCCATCCATGGGTATTTGTGTGCCTGGGAATGTTAATCTGTTCAGGCTGCCGTGACAAAATATAGTTGCTAAAGCACCAGAAGTTTGTTCCTCACAGTTGTAGAGTTTGGGAAGTCCAAGATCAAGGTGCCAACCAGATAGGTTTTGTTCTGAGGCCTCTTCTCTTGGTTTGTAGGTGGCCCCCTTCTTGTTTGAAATTATTTCTAGAAATCTAGAAAGAACTTTGTGCCTGTAAATTCTTATTTCTTTCTTTTCTTTGGGCCAGCTTAATTTGTCTTATTTTGTCAGTCTCTATATCTTGTTTTATAAGAGTGTGGTCAAGCTTCACTTAACTTTCTTTGCTAATTTTCTTTTACCCTGCCCACATTAACATTGAAACCCTGTACTACCTGTATACTCAGGCGGCCTCCCCTGGTCGTCATTCAGAAGCTGAAGTGGGCTAACCCCCCTTCCTCTCAGGCTCAGTGACCCATGTGGCCCATCACTGCTTCCCTGGCGACCAGGGCAGTCACCCTGATCCCAGGTCTCTCGAGGTCCAGCAACCAGGAGAGTCTCCTGGTTTGTAGCTCTTTCCAGCTTCCTTCTTTTCTGCTATCATTGATAACTGTGAGCTCAGTATGTCCCCCTCTCAAGTCCTAACACATCCCACAGCCCAGCTTTTACATTTTTGGTCCAAGATTGTTCCTTCATTTTGTGCCTTTTGTTTCAATTCTCCTAACTGTCCTTCCCAGTTCTAAAAAGAACATAGTAATTTACTGAAATCAGTATACATTTACTTTCCTAAGAAGGATATTCTCAGTTTTTATTTTTTTCCTTCCATATTCTTGAAACACTGGATATACTCTAAAGCTAGTGAGGAAACTACCAGCTCAGAAAGACTTGTGAGCATCCTTCATTCATTTTATTTTTTCTCCCTGCTTCTCTGTCAATCTATAGTGTTTTCCTGCTGCTCTACTCTTCTTGCTTTTGAGGTTCCTTGCTGTCGTCTATTTCTCAGGACTTCAGGCTAAGGGGTGAATTGTAAAAGTCCAGCTATGGTTGTGAGCTTGTATTGTCCAGTAGGAAAGATGCTGGTATAAAGGGGAATAAGGAGAGGTGAGGCAAACTGGGTTGTTTGTAGATTTTATTTGTGTCTTTTTCTTCTTTTTTAGCGTTCCCGTCCACTCTCTGCCAGTGATGCAGAAATGAAAAACCTTGTGGGGTCTGCCCGGGAGAAGGTGCCGGGGAAGTTAGGTGGTTCTGTGCTTGGCCTGTCCATGGAGGAGGTAAAGAGAACTGCATCTTAAGGCCTTACGGGAAAGCCCTAGGCTCAGGAGACTCAGTTTTAGTGTCTCACACATCTGACCAAGAGAAGTGCATGAGGGAAAAGTTGCTGGTTTGGAAGCAGCATCTGCAGTGGAGTGGACTGCTCTGTGCTGCCTCCTCCCTCGTCCCCAGGCAGAACACTGTGCTTGCCGTCTGCAGCCACATGCACTTCCCTTTCCAAAGTCGGCACTCATTTTATTCTCCCTCTTATCTAGATCAAAGTTTTACGGAGGGTGAAGGAAGAGAATGATCGGAGAGGTGGATTCATTCGCATATTTCCTACATCCGAGACGTGGGAAATCTATGGGTGAGGTGACTATTTTTTAATAATATGTGAAATGTGTAGCTCGGGTATAAGGGCTGAGACTGTGACGTGCTGATGTTGTTGCTCCCCACGTAGTGCCTGACTCTTGATTTCTTTATATTGTGCCGGACATTGGGACATCTACACTGAGAGCTAGACCATGAACAGTGGTTTATCGTGTTGTATGTTATTTCTTCGTGTTGTTAAAGCCGCTGCCAGTCTCCTCAATGGTCCCTCAGTCAAGGGCTGTACACTCTTCTCCATTATTGTTACTCTTTGATTTGAAAATTGTTCTGTTATCTAAATTTATACCTAAAAAATATTTTCTTTCTAGTCATTATATGCACTAAAATGCATCCATTTTGAATATACAGTTTGGTGATTTATTTAAATATCAGTTTAAACACTGCCACCACCACAGTCAAGATCAAGACCGTTGCCATGACCGCCGTAAATCAGTGGGTGCCCGTACTGCTCTGCTCTCCGTCCCCCCCAACCCTCGTGTCCATGACAGTGGGTCTCAGATGTTAATTATCCTGCTTTCTCTCATTTCATGTAAATAGAGCCATGCAATACCACAGCCATCCATGTGTACTGTTTTGTCATGCAGTTATAGCGCAGTTTATCTTTTCACTAGCTCTGGGACACTGGAATTGTTTCTGGTTTTCAGCTGTTGTGAAGAAAACCACCGTAAACATTAACGTGCAATGTGAACTTACACTTTTTCTTCGTCTTGGGTGAATACTCAGAAAGCAGGAGTCATATAATAAATCAAAGTGTCATTTTGCATTTTTACCATAATATAGGAAAGCTTCATTTGGCTCCATCTTTGTCAGCACTTAGTATTGGCTGGCTTTCTGAGTTTAGACACTCTGGTGTAACCCTTTGTGATTTTAATTTGTTTCTGAAATTGAGCACCTATTTGTATGCTGTTCACATTTTTTTCTATTTATTTATGTAATTTTTTTTTTATTGGAAAGGCAGATATACAGAGAGAAGGAGATCCAAGAGAAAGATATTCCATCCACTGATTCACTCCCCAAGCAGCAGCAACGGCCAGAGCTGAGCCAATCTGAAGCTAGGAGCCAGGAGCTTCTTCTGGGTCTCCCATGCAGGTGCAGGGTCTCAAGGCTCTGGACCATCATTTGCTGCTTCCCCAGGCCACAAGCAGGGAGCTGCATGGGAAGCAGAGCAGCTGGGACACAATCTGGTGCCCATATGACATCCATGGGCATGGAAGGCAGGGGTGTAGCCACTGAGCCATCACACTGGGCCTGTCTTATCTAAATTTTAAACACTGAGGCTTTCCCAGCTTTTTGTCACTGATGACTTCTGTTGAGCCCAGTAAACATACTTTCATAACTTACGTCTTTTTTGTTTAGTGAAGTTTATTTCTCTCAGAATATGGTTTGTCCTACTAAATGTAATACATTCATTGAAAAAATGTGTATTCTGTAACTATGCACTAGTTTTGAGAACTTGACAGTGTCATCTTGATCTTCTCCGCCTTTGAGTTGTGTGCATTATTGAGACTGGTGTTGGAATGGTGATTGTGAATTATGCAGTGTCTCCCTTTGCTTCTGTCAGTTTTGCTTTTCATCTCTTTGTGAACTGTTGCTACGTATGTGAGCATTTGGTTTGTTGTATCTTCTTGATAAATTGACATCGTAGTTGTTATAAAATATTCATCTTTAATCCCTGATAATGTTCTTTGTCTTGAAGTCTCCTCCTCTGCTGATAAAATAATGCACTCCAGCTTTCTTATGACGAAGATTTCCATGGTATTTCTCTTTCCAGTGCTTTGCCTTTAAAGCAGGATTAGCGAGCTGCCAGCCTTTAAAGGCCTGCAAAATCATTTTGGTCTGGTCATGCCAAGACAATTATAGGAAGGACTCGAAATTCACCAAGTCTACAGCAGGTTGATTTGTTAAGTTGATAATTTTGTATGGCCCATGGATGATGTTTGTACGTATCCAAATGGCCCTTGGCAAAGAAGAGAAAATTTAAAAAAAGCTCCTTGTCCTTGCTTTAAAGAAATATTTTTAACTGAAAAATATAATTACATGTATTTATGAAGTAGAACATGATGTTTTGAAATATGTAGCAGAATGGTTAAATTTATCTGATTAATGTATTACTTCACAGTTATTTTTTTCAGCAAGAACACCTAGGATTCTTTGTATTTTTCAAGAATATAATATGTTGTTGTTATATAATCTCTGATCTTATTCCTTATGTCTCGGTTATGTATCTCCTGGCCCGCATTTCCCTACCACCTCCTCCCCTTTAAACAACCCCAACCTCAGGTAATTACCTTTTGTTCTCTGCTAGGTAACATCATGCAGTGCTTGTCTTTCTGTGCTATTGTTTTTAAAATAGTTATTTATTTAATTATTTATTTGAAAGGCCAACTTATAGTAAGAGAGAAGAGAGGGATAGACAGAGAGGAACATCTTTCACCTGCTGACTCACTCCCCGAAGGGCCACAGTAGCTGGAGGTGGGCCTGTCTGTGCTACCAGCCAGGAGCTTCTTCTGAATTTCCCACATGAGTGCAGGGGCCCAAGCAATCAGGCCATCCCTCACTACCAACCCCCTCCCTTGGGATATAAGCAAGGAGCTGGGTTGGAAGTAGAGCTTGTGCCCATGTGGGATGCTCGCACTGCAGGCATTATCTTTACTTGTTATGCCACAGCACCAGTCCTTGTGTTAATTTATTTCAATTAACATGATGTAATGACTGAATATAGTTCATTGTGTATATGCATATCTTCTTTGTCCATCCGTCCATTGACGAGCACTTAGACTGTGTTAGCTATTGTGAGAAACACAGAAACAAGAAACCTGGGAGTGCAGCTGTCTGGTCAACATGCTGCTTTCATTTCCTTTGGCTATTTGCCCAGCAGCGGTATTGGTGGATCATATAGTAGTTCTACTTTTAATATTTTGAGGAATCTCAGTCGTTTTCATAATAGCTATAGTAATTTTCATCAAATTTGGAAAGCACTCGTCTATTATTACTTTAAGTATATTTTATTATTTTCCTCCTTTCTTTTGGCATCTTGTTACGTGATAAATTGGCTTCTGCTTACCACAGGTCTGGCGTGTTCTTATTTTTTCAGATTTGATTCCCCCCCCCCTCTTTTTTTTTTTTTCCTTTTTGGGTGGTTTTCTATTTCTGTTTATGTTTAAAGTCATTTTGCTTGCAGTACTTTAATCCTCTTTAATTCCATCAGTGAAAATTTGTGTTTTGAATGTTCAATTTTTTAATCTGGAAAATTTCAGCTTTTTTGTTTTCTTTTTCTCGTTTTTATATGTTATTTCTGTGATAATTCACTTTAGATCTTTGTGCATACATTTCTGGTAGCTGTTTAAAAATATTTTTTATATTCTTGTATCCGTTCTGCTCTTTCTGTTGGCTGGTTTTCTTGTTGTTAGTAGATCACATTCTTTCTGTTTTGCAACATGCACAATCATTTTAAAAATTGGACCCTGGACATTGTGTTACATTTTTGAGTGTTTGGATTTTATTGCCTTCTTTAACCCTCTTGAAAAACATTTTTTTTCGACAAGGCTTCTATATGTCAGCATAGTATTTTTCAGGCTTGATTTTAAGTATCATTAAAAATTTATTTTTTATTTTTAGGTTATTTATACAAAGTGATCAGATTTCACAATGCAGATTCAGGAGCACAGTAATAACTTACCAGCGAGATCAGTCTTCCATGCCTTTTCTTTTCATCTTTCAGATTTGTTTTCCGGATTTAGTATATCATATTTTATTACTCCAAGAAATGTGATCCTTTTTGTAAATAAAAATTAACTCTTTTTATATTTTTTTCTCTTTGTTTATCTTGTACTATTCTGATGTTTTCATCTGAGCAACTGTCTTCTCACCTGATTCTTTAAAAGTAGCCTATTTTTAAAAGGGACTTATTTTATGTATTTGAAAGGCAGAGTTAAGGAGTCTGGGGGTGGGAGAAGGAGACAGAAGAGATGTTGCATCTTCAGGTTTACTCCCCCAATGTTCGTGTCTACTGGGGATGGGCCAAGCCCCAAAGCCAAGAACCAGGAGCTTTTTCCTCCAGGACCCAAGGTCTTGGGCCATCTTCCATTGCTTTCTTGAGCCATTAGCAGGGAGCTGGATCATCACTGAGGCAATTGGGACACGAACCAACACCCGTAATGGTCGAAGACATCACAGGTGGTCACTCTACCTGCTCTGCCATAATACCGGCCCAGCATAGCTCTTTGAAGACAGTGTATAAAGTTAACTCTCACTGCTGTGTTTGATGCAGTCTTTATTTCTGGCTTTTCCTCTAGAACTAAGTAAGTTAAGCAAGTTTCTTTCCTTGTCTTTCAGGTCCTACCTTGAGCACAAGACCTCCATGAACTACATGTTAGCAACACGTCTCTTCCAGGACAGGTGGGGGTTTATTAAACTTGTAAAGTTAAGACCACATCACTAGATGAGAAGCAAAGCATGCCAAAGAGGGAGGAGGCTTCCTAAACGTCTTCCTATGCAACCTGTGGCAGAAACGACCTTGTAGAAAGCTTAATACCTCATTTCCCAGAATTTGTCATTAATCTCTCATTACTTTGTTACATCAGAGAAACCACACATGACACTGTAGTCTTAAAGAAAGCCCTAAACTTTACTATTTTCAAAGGAAGTTCTTGTTTGTTGCCTTTTTTACTTTAGCTGTATTTTTTAACAGATGTGATTATCTGTTTTGCTGGACCAGAGGAGATTAGAATTACCAGATCTCAGGAGTGGAAGGGAAGCACTTCACAAAATAAATATACCAAAACTTGTAAGAAATGACAACTGACAACCGCAGTGTAAGGAAAACGGGAGGAAATGATGGGAAGCAGACATGGAGATACAAATAACACAGCAGTCAGGGACCACTAAGGCCCAGCCACTGTGCAGTGCAGCTCACCCGGGATCATAAAGCTGTCCTGGTTATTTAAAGATTTTTTTTTTTAGCATGTGTTTGCCTTGTTTGTTTAATTTTTAAAGACTCTTAAAATATGTATCTAGATTTCAGCCTTTTTTTTTTTCTACAATATAATGATTTTTTAAATTAGAAAATGTATGGGGTTTGCAATTCCTCTTTGTAAATATGCAATAAATATCATTGATTAAGTAATCACAGCTTCTAATGAAAGATCTTTGAATTTATTACAAAGACATGGAAATTCAACTCTGCATGTAATCCATAGTTGTGGGTCTTTTTTTTTTTTTCCTCCCCTCTTTGAAAACTTTTTCAAAGTTCCTCTGGAGTTCAGCTATTTTACCAGGATATGTTCTGTCATTTTTCATTATTTTTGTTTTGCGCTGAGTGAATCCATTCAGTCTGAAGGTTTATGTCTTTAAACTGGGGAATGTTCTTCTTATCCCCCTTTTCCTCTCCGCAAGGAACTTCTCTTAGATAAACTGCAGCCTCCATATGTCTTTACCTTTCTCATACGTTTGATTTTATCCTAAGTTCTTAGAGATTTTTGAAGAGTTTTCCTCTGGAACTCTAAATTTGGTTTCCAGGCTTCCCTCTTTTGTTATTCACTGTAGACACAGAGGAGGGTTGCTCAGTTTGCTTTCTTATTTAGCAAATATGACCTTAAATATTGAAGAAATACCCTTGCTTTCTTTTTAATTGTATTTGATGTATGTAACATCTGCTAAAATTCCATTGATTGTATGTATCCTGCATTATTTTTTATTCTTCTGAATTCGTTGTGTTAATCTTTTTTTTTTTTTTTCTTGAGTTTTCTATCATATGTCAGGTATTTGGGCATCTTCGATGTCCTAGTCATACTCAGAAGGAATAGATGTTTGTTTGCTTAAAGTTGGCAATTTGCGTGGGTTGCCTAGAGTGGTTTCTCCTTGAGGCTGGATCTTTCCACACCTGGGTCATCCGTGAAGGAGAAGGAGGGGAGACAGAGAACCCAGGGACCTCACCCCCCCCATAGTAGCCCTAAGTAGGAACTGTTTCTCTGGGTGCAGCAGAATAGTACACATCGTGAGATACAGAAATACATGTGCATCTTTCTCAATTCATTATATAACAAACCCAAGGATAGGAGCAGGTCTAATAGCTATTATAATTTCAGAAACTATCAGTTGTGTTTTGACATACTTGTGACGGTTCTAAAACATTGAAAGAGACACGCTCTTTCAGTAATGAAGTCAGGCTGACTCATGGGTGAACCTGGTTTCTGATACTTTATGGAAATACTAGATTTCAGTTAGAAAATGCAATGTTTTTTCACTCTGTTCATTGTGGTGTGTTTCTATATTTATTCTTCACTCCTGCTTTTTAAAAGCATTCTAAAAGCTTTGATTTAAATAAATAAACAAAAAGCATAAATCTCTCTTTTCAGCAAAGAAGGACCCCTGAGATATGTTTCTGGATACTGTTTCGGACTTTTGCACCAACCCATGGTTAATCGGATCATATTGACAGTTACTTTCATACCTCTTTGTCCTTACAAATAAATGCCTTCCCTTGAAATGGCCTTCAATCCATCCTAAAGCTCTTCCAGCAATTTCTTCCTCCTCCAAACTAGACCAGGAGGGGGGTACTCACAGCCCTTCATTTCTCTCAGTTTAATTGGATTCTAATCACCTGTGTACTAACTTGTACTTCACAAGGTGGCTTGAAGACCAGGTGCTTTGTTGTGGCAGTATTTACAACACACCACCTCCTAGGAGGCGTACAGGAAGGCATGCACTGGGAAAAATCCATTCTCTTCTGTCTTAAGTTGCTGTTTTTCCCTCTGGCAAATCTGAGTCTGTTATTGTCAAAACCACTTGCAAGGTGATTCTCTGCTCATCTCTTTTATATTAATTCTATTACTTCCCTTTTCCTGTCAGTTCCCCAGTTTTTCCTTAAGGTCCTGGCAAACTGTATCTTGCTTGCTATGTGGCAGCATGCTGCAGATTTTTTTTTTTTAAGATTTATTTATTTATTTGAAAGATAGTATTACAGAGAAGAAGAAATGGAGAGAGACTGCCTTTGTTTTGCCTCATTCCCCAAATGGCTGCAGCTGGCCCAAGCTCTTAGGATGTTCCCCGCTGCGTTCCTAGGTGCATTACTAGGAGTCGGATCAAAGCGAATCAGCTGGGAGTCAAACCTGTGACCATGTGGGCTGCTGGTGCTGCAGGATGCTGGTGCTGCGGGTGGCAGCTTAGCTTGTTACACCATAACACCAGTCCCTAGCCTACTGTAGTTTCAATGCTGATGGCGAATTAATATCACATGGGGACCTTGTTAACTGTGTGTCCAGAATGAAGTAGTGCGTGGATGAAAGCTGCCCTGGTAGTCATTGTGAAGCTGGAGTTTTTGGTGAAAAACGTAAAAATTGTCCTGGAACTTTTCCATGTTAACATGACAATATCAGGCCATTTATCATTGTAGAAGACTTGGAAAAGGAAAGGCAGAAGGGTAGAATGCCTTGTTAAAAACTCAACTTTTTCACTTGCTTTTCTGTAGGTTTATCATCTATATTACATTTGTCCCTGTCTTTTTTTTTTTTTAATTAGTTTATTTTTGTTGGAAAGGCATATATACAGAGGAGGAGAGACAGAGAAGATCTCTTGTCTCCTGATTCACTCCCCAAGTGACCACAATGGCTGGGGCTGAGCCAGTATGAAGCCAGGAGCTTCTTCTGGGTCTCCCATGCACACAGGGTCCCAAGGCTTTGGGCTAGCCTCAGCTGCTTTCCCAGGCCACAAGCAGGGAGCTGGATGGGAAGCGGGACCATTGGGTATACAAGCTGGGATCCGTATAGGATCCTGGATGTCCAAGGCGAAGATTTTTCCCTCTAGGTTACCGTGCCAGGCCTGCATTTGTTTCTTTCTTTAAAAGAAAAAACACAGTATTAAAGATTACATGGCATGCGTTCTTATTTACATAACATTTTTGAAAAGCCGACATTTTGCAACTAGAGGCTAGATTAATTTAATGTCATCTAAAAAGAGGGTATGCATGTGATAATAAAGGGATACCACTTGTGTAAGGCAATCCTTATGATAATGTAAATCAGTATCAGTAAAATGTTATCACTTGCGTGGATTTATCTGCCTACCCATTCAGTCCTCCACATACAGAATCACAGACCTTCACATGCAGAAATGAGCACAAGACTGGGGACACACCACAGAGTTAAGTGGAACCAAGCCAAATTAGGAGAGAATGGTTAAAAGAAAAGGTATGGCCTATTTTAAACATAGATGGTGCTCAGTTCTGGGGCTTTGAGCCCTCCCCACTCCCCCGCCTTACTTTTTTTTTTAAATCATGGAAAACCCATTTCTGATGAGTGTCCCTTGGCAGCCCAGTGAGAGCTGAACTTGATTTCCTCCCCTAAAACAGTTGAATGAAAATAAAAGGAACACTGCGCCCTAAGACCCACTCCCTGGGGCCGCATGGAAACCTGTGAGCTCTGACCAGTGGGCAGGCCACTCCTTCATCAAAGCGGGGCTTACAGTCTCTTTTATACAATTGTTACGAGGCGTATACGTGATGTGTTTTATAAAAGAGTACATGAAGGCAAGCAGTCGTTAAAATTTTTTTTTTCTCTAGAATTTATTTGACCTTCTCTCTGGCTCATCACACTTGTTTCTCTTAAGAGAATGTTCTTGACTTTGTCTGCTTCTCCTTCCCTTCCCCAAACCCAAGATGCCCTTTATGGCCTAATTCCAAGTTGAGTCTCTGCAGTAGTTTTAGGAGTGTGTGTGTTTGGGGGAGAGTCTCAGCAGAGAACATCTGAACAGCAGTCTCTAACCCAGTTGTCCTTTCTACTTCTGTAGGGGAAACCCAAGAAGAAGCTTATTGACAGGAAGAACACGGTAACTGACTTTTATCTGTTGAGCAGTTCTTTCCGTATGCATGGGGTGGTACCAGCTTGTAAAGCTGAACCCAGTACTTGCTATAACCACTCTCATTTTAGCCTCACTTGAAGACTAACATAAAAATGTTTCCTATTTAAAAAAAAAAAAGATTTCTTAGCTACTTTTTATCAATTAACATGGGATTACTTTTTGCAGGTACAAGTATGTCATTTCAGTTGGAAATCACAGTTATTATTTGGCTGTGTGTGAGAAAGATCAGTGTCAATACGATTTCCAGACCGTAGGTGTGTTCAATCCAAATAAGAGTTTGTGTTTTGGCCTTGATCTGAGGGTTCAGCTCCGTGGCTAACAGCACTGATGTGCTAACACCAGATGTGCTTAGTCCTCTCCATAGAACTGGAGGCACGCCAAGTACCTGTGACACTTAGACTGGTCAGAGCAGACAAGGGCTTCCCTAAGCAGTACAGGCAGAGTTGGCTTTGCCTCGCTGAAGACCAAAACTGGCACACCAATTTTAAACCCAAAGTGCTTACCTTCTTGTCACAGAGAGCTTGAGACATACATTACATATA